GCCAGGTGCTGTCTCTGCAGAACTCTGTGAACGGAGTGTCCCCTGAAACTCACCATGACACAAGATCATGGCTGTGCTCCCTTGTAAAAGCTAACAGTATACAAAATCAATAGGAATACTCTAGTCTGGGCAAAGCTTGCCTCATGGAAGACCCACATTCAAGCCTTGATAAATATGGACACCTCATGGAAGACCCACATTCAAGCCTTGATAAATATGGACACCTGTTCAGAAAGCTGAGCATGTGGCATGGTGAGCTGTGGGGATGATCCCAAGGAGAGCACATATTTTGGGGATCCTCATACTATACCATCTCAGTAACTTATAAACCAAGTGAACCAACTACTAAATAATGAACTTCTTAATGACCTTGGWTCAAATGTCAACTTCTTGGTTTCCTTGGAGTTCCACACTGGACGATGGTGGTGCAGAGTGGGCTGCCCCATGGYTCTCTCTCCTTTCCTTCCCTCCCCAGTTTTCACATGGGTTTCATGTGCCATGTGCAGACACCAGTCTGTATGATTGAGCTCAGCCTTGCTTCAGAAAGGGCTTGGAAGCAGGCTTTACACCATTKGGACAGAGAATTTCAAAGTTCTGGGGTCAGAGGTCATGTCTCCTGGTACCTGTGAACTCTGCCTGTGAGAGAAGCAGCTGGAAGAGGACCAGATTGGGACCTGCAGGGAAGGCTGAATGACCAGTCAAGGAATCTAATTTTTCTAGAACTTTGTTTCATTATCAAGTAAAACAATGGAAACAAAACAATTATATGGATCTTAGATTTTGAATGCTGAGGTATTTTCTAGCTCTGTAAGCCTGCTTTTGTGAATCTGAATCTTCTCCTACCTACACTTTCCCAAATCTGATGATCATTTTGGACAAAATATGATAAATATCTTTTTACCTATAAATATTTATTAGGATTAATGAACTGTTATTCTCAGGACAACTGTTGAGGCCCTAAACCACCATACTGAGGAAACTTGAGCCTCAACTGTCTGGGTGCCTGAAATAGCCGTCCTTTAAGGCTAACACTCCCTGTTACCAGGGGAAATGTTCTTCCCTTCTCCACCATCTCACAATCCTGCTGGGGCAGAACTTCCTTCATAGGGGCTGCACTGCAAGTCCCCAAGCTGTCACAGAGACTCTTTCCTCCAAGCCCCGAGCTTTGCTGCCCCTGTTTTTTCTTCCTGTCTCTTAGGAAAGCTGGAGTGACAGGCACACATRAAGCTCTCTGTGAGCTCTTTACTCACACCGAAAGAAGCTTCTCCTTTGATTACAGCTATTGGAAAACCTAAGCTCCCCAAAGAAGAACTGGAAACTTCAAAAATCTGAAAGCAAGTCATATGCCTGAAACATCTTTTATGTGGTCTTGTTTTCTGAATTGACTCTATTTCTTCCTTTCCTTTTTATAAATCTTTATGAATTAAGATGGGGGGAATCTTTCAGTAGGTTAACTCATTTTCAGGGAGATTTGGGCTAACCTGCCAACTTGAATACTCCTCAAAAATAAGCACACTGGGTATGAGCACTACGAAGCCCATCCATAGGTCCTAGAGGGAAGATTGTCTTGGTAGAGAAGTCAATTTGCTTTCCTCACCCACAGTCTTTTGAATGATTTGATTTAAAACTATCATTTTCTAGCTCCTGGTGAGCTTTTATGTGCCCCATGACCCATTCCCTCTGATACCACTGCATAGGACACACTTGTCTGCATGGTGGGTGTGGCATGGTGTTGTATGAGGCCTTGACTTCTAAGTTTACAAAGACATGTCAGGTTTCATCCAACCACTGAGCCACTCCTACCTATCCATGCTCTTTTGTTTCCTGTCCTAATTATACCTGTGAGGTAGGCATTCAAATGTGCCAGGCAAACAGATGTGAAATGTGGGTTCAGATAATACCCACTGACAGTGTTTACATGCATCACCAGACGGATGTCTTCTTCAAACCCTATAAAGACTTGACATGCAACATGGACACTAGTCCATTCACTTCCACCTGTGTTGTGGAAAGTGCTCCTGTGGCAATAACTCTCATGGAGGTTTATGGCACTATATGGAGCTACACACTCCCACAGAAAATATCTGAAACCATTTTAGATGGTGCACACCAGGGAGGTCAGTGAATAGGGTGATTTGTGATTAGACTGCATTTTATTTCTCCTTGAAAATTAAACTTAACTCACCATCCACACACCACACATACACAGAAGCAGATTCACTTGAAATAAGAGCGATATTGAGGCTAAAGGTATGGCAGGCTGGACTGGGATTCTACTCCCATGGTCTGGATGGAAAGGTTATTCTATTGTTTGGTAGGGTCAGTTTCACCCTCAGGTGTTGCAGATGAGCTATCCTTCTGGTTTCCTTCTGAAAGAGCCTCCTCCTGAGTTCACTGTGCTCCTTGTATGTTTGTTTGCTGCTTAGTGGATCAGTTTCTTTTGGATGACCACATGGGCAAAGGCTCCTGCAGTCCCGCGTTCCTTTCAGCCGTAGGGAAGAGCAGTGCTGAAGGATATCAGGCCTGTGGAAGGAGGTTAGATAGACTCTTATCATCAAAGTTTTCTGAAGAGCTGGAGTAGCTGTTTTTAGACATTACAAGTTCTTTGAAGGAAGCCCAGCTAAGGGAACTGTGGTTCTGTCAGATCACTGAGGCTATGGGCCATGTTTGTTTCCTCTTCTGTGAGGTGATTGTTCAGGGTTCCCAGCTCTTAAGATTCAGGGTGTTCATGTTTCTTATGCACACACACACCCTGGAGTGCATGCAGGTTGCTATCTTAGAGGGAAGCCACATCCTCCTTGCTACCTCCAAAGGATGCTATGGTGTCTTTTGATTTGCTTTTTAGCCCAAGGAAGTAACCATGCCCTTACTGTCTTAAAAGCCAAGAAATCACAAGGCAGGTCAGGCTCAAGTCCAGAATTCCTTTGTCCACTTCCTACAAAGGTGGCTCCTAGGAAATATGAACATTTAATTTGGGGGATGGAGCATAGAGTCGGATTTGAGCTGGGGTTCAGGATATCGGGCTCCAGATCAAACTCAGGAACCAAGTCCATGCCCCTAGAGAAGAGGAGACAAAGTGACCTTTCTAACTGGAGATATTCTGTTTCTATTCATAAAGTGTAGGTAGAATTCCTGAACCAATCCCTGCTACAGGTGTGGGAGAGTGTGGGAAGAGGGGCTAGAGGCAGGCCTTCCCAGTCCATTCAAAATGTGGTTTATTCAGTTTTCTGGATTAAAATCACCCATCTCTTAAGGCAATGGTTACTATTATTGTATTCAAGGTTCAGCATATGCTTTGAGGTGGTGCAATGAGGCATCAGGTACTTCTAAACAATGAAATTAGTTTCATAAGGAAACAAATGGATAAGATTAAAAKTGAGGCAGGGAAATTGCAACAGTGTGTGAAAATAAGGATCAGAAATTGATCTGAGTTGTTCCTGACTTTAGAAAGCACAGATGACCACATACTTAAAACCCATTTAGKATGTTTTTAAGTTGTCTGATCATCTGTCGCCTACTCATCTATCAAAACAATCCTCACCTATTTTTATAAAATAGATGGTTAAGATAACACAAAACCTAATTCCAAAAGATGTTTTCCAAGACTAAGTCCTCTGACAAACTTTAAAATTGTCTTGATAAGTCGGTYTCTAGACCTTGTGTAGGCCTTGCTCACAGCCGGGGACTGTGARGCCAACAGCCTGCTGAACTTCCTGAAGCTCAGCTCTCCCATTTGTTCAGAAGYAAGCTGCAAAGCTTTTCTAGAATGCCTTGAGAGAAATTACCCTTTTCTGTAGAGTACTTAAAAAAAAAAAGTATTTTAAAGTGGTGTAATAAGAACAAGAATGTAATTAACTCTGTTTCATGACAGGTTTGTTTACATACAAAGGAGTTTGCTAACCTTTGTAAAGATAGTATGTCATAAATTAGAGATACGGTTTGAATTAAAAAAWTTATTATAAAATAATAATAAATAATTTGACAAATGTGTCACAGTAGGTTTTCTAATATTTGTGAGCCAAAATATAAAAAATATAATTTAAAAATTATGTCTAATAAAGGGGAAAGTTTGGAATTAATTGCTGTAGGTTACAGACTATCAGTGCYCCTGGCCTGGCCCAGAGGTGATGTGTTGGCCCTTTAAGATGRAGTATGCCAATGGAGGCTGGGGGAGGAGCAGGGTGGACCCTGGAAGTTCTAGGAAACAATTTTGCTACCCAATTATGTATCTGTGTTATAAAAAGAATTCATAATTTTTTGTACCTTTAATTTATTTATTGATTTTTATGTGGTGCTGAGGATCGAACCCAGGGCCTCGCACATGTTAGACAAACGCTCTACCACTGAGCCCCAGCCCCAGCCCCAGCCCCAAAGGATTTATAATTGCAAGCTGATTTCAAAGAATCATTTTGACTAGTGTCAACAGCAACTACAAGATTTATAAGTGAGAAATGGTGACTAGAAATCAGCAAAACTAACCTTCCCTGAATAGGTGTCTTTGCTTGGCATTTTGGTGGGGTATGTGTGTRTGCAAACTCCATCTTGCTAAGTGGCCGTGAGACCTCTACTGGTCAAAAGGAAAGGGAAACATTCATCACAAGCCCTGTTTTGGAAAGCAGTATCTCAGTCATTCACTAGATTTGGTTTTTCTTGCAATCAAGAAATTGGTTGGGAGGAATGAGAAATTTGGAAAATAAGATCTTGCACACTTCTGCTTTTTGGAAAATGCTTTGATTTGATTTGGTTTATTCTTCAGGTAAGTCAGGGGAGAAAGGCTGACTCAACTCATCCCTTTAAAACCCCAGGCTTCACAATCCTCATCAAATAAACCTATCTATAAAAATGAAAAAAAAAAAAAAACCCAGGCTTAAGTCAAGTCACCTGAGAACTGGCACCTCCATGCTTTCTCTAGCCATCTCTCCGTCTGGGGAATTTGGAGGGCAAGGTGTGCTTCTCACATGGGCACTGAGCCAAGGCAGGTACCTGGACATACTCAAGAGTTATTGCAGGCCAGGATCCACACCTTCTATTGCTTCTTCCTCTTTCATCTTGATACTTTTCTAAAGAACAAAGAGCCCCCTTCCTACAACAGACATGGCCCTTGATCTAACYAAATGTGCCCACCATTGAAACAGATGCTGGTTCACTCCCTTCCTTTGAAATTCCAATGCATGACCAGATGCAGATGTCAAGTATCCCAACAGCCAAAATATTTTCATATTCTCTCCTATCTTCCATGCTTCTTATTTCTAAACAAAAACATGTGGAAAAGTTCTTCTAAAAAAATGCTCTCCCACTGGGGCATGGTGGTGCATGCYGGCAATTCGAGCAGCTGGGGAGGCTGAGGTAGGAGGATTTTCAAAGCCAGTCTCAGCAACTTAGTGGTAGTGATACTTTAAGCAGCTTAGTGAAACCCTGTCTCAAAGAATAAAAAGAGCTGGGGATGTGGGACAGGGGTTAAGCACCCTTGGGTTAAATCCCTGGTATAATAATAATAACAACAACAATAATATGCTCTCCTATCCAAATGGCTTCCAGATTACAATAGGAACAACAAGACCTTCAGCGCAGAGTGGTGGGGATATAGCAAGGATATGGTAGGGGCATGGTATGAGTGGAGCTCTCAGCAGGAGGTATGTGTGATCCTTGGGTCACCTCAGGTGCAGTGGGCCAACTGGGCCTGGGAGCCCAGGATCTGCCTCAAGCAGTGGACTGAGAAAGGGCAGCAGCAGTACCTTGGCTTTTTGGCTGGCTCCAGCAGCTCGAGGATGCAAAGGAAGGTCATGAGGTTCCGTCTGCTGTTTATTAGCAAAGTTCACAAACACCTGGAGTCAAAAGAAGAGCAAGAGTTAAGTAGATGTCTCCAGAAAAACAGCACCCTACAYGACCTATCCAGTTAACTCTGTATTTTCCAATTATCATACAGCCATACTGGGGTGACTGGTGTCCTGACCAGGGGAGGCTGGTACATGCACACAAACCCAGCCACTGGTCCCCTGGACAGAGCTTGCATCTTCCGAGCCAAGCCAAGGAAGTTCCTGTTAGAGGTTTCAAAGGACTTTGGGTTCAGATGTTGGAGTAACCAAGGCAAGGCAATTTCTCAGACAGTACCTTCCTAATCTGTTAAAGAAGGAACTAAGAAAAGGTAGTTGACTCTTTTCTGATCTTCATTCAATGTACACAACTCCTGCCTAAGGAATCCAGTTTGGCCTTCATCTGCTCAAGGCTGATAAGAAGGTGCAGGTGAGCAGGTAAGCCAGCTCCTCTTCAAGGAGTAAAAGGTAACTTGCCTATTTCTACTGTCTTTGTTGAATTGTCTTTCAGGGTGTTTAGTAAAGAACAAAACACTCGGAAAGAACCCAAATGTCCACTGATGAATGAATAGAAGGATAAGCAAAATGTGGCATTTAAACCCAATGGAATATTATTCAGTCTTAAAAAGGAAGGAAATTCTGACACATGCTACAACATGGATGGGCCATGAGGACATTATGCTTAGTGAAATAGGCCAGTCCCAAAAGGAAAAATTTTGCATGATTCCACTTGTGTGAGGTACACAGAATAGCCAGTTTCATAGAGACAGAAAGAAGAATGATAGTTGCTAGGAGAAGCGGCAGAGTGGAGGAGGAAGAACAGTACAGTTTAATGGACACAGTTTCAGTTTTGCAAGCTGAAAAGAGTTTTGGAGATGGGTGGTGGTGATGGTAGTTAACACTCTTGAACTTTACACTTAGAAATGGTTAAGTGGTAAATTATATATATTTTACACAAACACATATATATTTTTACCACAATAAAGAATGTGATTACATTATAAAAATACAGATGGAACATGTTTATAAAAACTCACCAAAGTGGGCCTGGGGTTGTGGCTCAGTGGTAGAGTGCTCACCTAGCATGTGTGAAGCACTGGGTTCGATCCTCAGCACCATATTAAAAAAATGAATAAATACAATAAAGGTACTATGTCCATCTACAACTAAAAAAAAAAAAAAACCAAACAAACCTTTTTTTAAAAAAAATCACAAAAATGTACACTTAAAATAGGTGTGTTTTATTGTATRTAAATTACATATCACTAAAGTTGATTTGAAAAAAAAAGCCACCACCACACACAAGAAAGAAATAACATGTAAAAGAAGAACGATCTAAAAAAAAAATCAATGACATTGTTTGCTGATGAGTAACATTATTTGAAAACAATTTCTGATTTATCAAGATTTACCCTAATAGACAGAGACAAAAGTGTGTTAAAAATCGGGAATGTCATGCCTGCCTCTCGTGTCAACTGCAGCCCATGATGGCACTCTGGGACATTTGTCTTTGCACAGTCTTCTCTCCTGTGCCTGGTACACTGGGGTGGACTTGCCTGATTCACTGTGGTCTGTGTGACTGAGTACTCCTCGATGAACAGGCTGTCCTTGTGGGAGAGGAGCAGCTGGAAGATCCTGGCCAGGGAGGAGGAAGAGACCTGGAACTGGAGCATGTTGTAATGCCTCTCCCTCTGCACACTGCCAGGGAAGTTCCCCTGGAAGAACTGTTCCACGGGATTCAGGTCAGGAAGCAAGTCATCCTTTGGGGATTTGATTTTCATTGTGACAATGTAGCCATCTCCAAACCTAAGGGATGCACAGTGAAGTACAGGCCTGTCAGTGGGTGGGGGTCAAAGGCAATCACAAAATAAGGAGTAGACTCATCCTGCACACTGGGGTTAGGCCCATACCATTGGCCATCTGTGTGTGTTTAAAACTAGGAGAAAGAAATGTAGTAGTTCTTGGGGAAACCTTTTGGTACCAGTTTTTAAAGGTCTGAATGTGTGTGGTAAAGTGGCAAAGTTGTACTTTCTGAAGTCAAAGGTGGTTGTAGCCCTGTGGAGATCCCAGGCCSRCTGATAAAGACATGTGACCAGTGCATTCTGAATGGGGTGGCAAGGGCTGACTGGCCTTTAGGACACCAGCAAGGGGGAAGCAAAGGCCTGGGAAGACAGCATGCTTTCTCTAAGGAAGTTTCCAGAAACAGGGCCATTGGTGCTTCCTTCCTCCCTTCACCAGGTTGCTGGCAATCTTCACAGGGAGGATGAAGGATGGTCTACCAGAGAGTGTGCTGGTGGTCCTTTGGCATCTGTATATGGCTAGGTCAGGGTGTATGATGAACACTATCATTGTAAGGTCCCTCCTTGACCTAGGGCCATTCTCTATCCGTCTTTCAGCTCCAGAGAATTGATGTCCCTCCACATGGGAAAATGCCTCCTCATCTCTTCAATCATCTCCTCTGTCATGGAGAATGAGAGGCAAAGGAGTACGGGGTCATTCCTCAGCAGTTGGGCACAAGGAATTGCTGACACAGATCTGACCTTACATGCTGATGTCCTCACAAATATCCAGCATGGAGACTGTAATTACTCAAGAAATCAGGRTCAAATATCCATTTGCCAAATGTAGCTCATCTACTAGACCTTTCTCCCTAGACCTTTTCACTGAAATACACTTTCACAGATCCTTAAGATTAAGCACATCCACATAGGTAAGGAAGATTCTGTGATGTCCCTTTTATCAACTAGCTGATGATTTTAGATTCTGGGCTCTTGATAAGTGTGYTAAATAAAATCCACAACTATAAACCCACTCTTTCCCAGGTTAGAAGGCATGTCAGAATGCAAGGGAACCTGGCAATATAATGATAATCTTGTTTTAACTGGTTGTTAGTTTCAGCACACAAACTGTAAATAAGGAATTATTTACAACAATTTATGGGTACAGGATAATTCTAATCGAGACTACTGGCATTCTTAGTTTCTTATGGTCATTTTTCAAACTTAAAAGCATATAATAGTCTAGAGAAGAAATCTGGTTTCCAAGTTGTTTGGTCTCCTAATCATTCTTATATTGGTTGTGGCCTCTCATGATAAAGGCCAGAGTGGATCTGGTAGGATAAGTGAGGTGACATTGAATCAGTGTTTTAACCACAAGCAATTAGTCCAATACAGAGGAACTTATTATCAGCACAATGCTTTCTGCATTTGCCTCAGGGGCACCTGGCCCAGCTACCACTAGCAGGTGGGATGAGAGGCAGCAGGATTCTCCCAAGCATCCAAAGAGAACACAGGGCCTGGTTCAACCCCACAAAAGGTAGCAAAAAGGAGGCCGCCCCCCGCCCCCCAGCTTGCTTACTTGTATTTGAGGTGCTGAATGGTGCCCAGACACTGAAAGGTGCCCTTCACCATGATGGCCAGCCGGGTACACAGTGCCTCACACTCCTCCATGCTGTGGTACAGGAAAGAGGAGATGAGGCAGTAGCAGGGACTCCCACCCACCTTCCCCACCCTGGGCATCTCTTGCCTGTGAGAGGTGAGGACCACAGCTCTCCCTTCTCTGAGGATGCTCACAATGGTGTTCCACAGCATGCGTCKCGCCTGAGGATCCATTCCGGTGGTGGGCTCATCCTGTGGGGTGGGAGAGAGAGCAGGGCATGTGGACTTGGAGTTGGCCTTTTTGGGTCACTGCAGACTCTGCCAGCTGACTCCCTTTGAGCCGCCCTGGTGTCTGAGAAGGATGAGCTGACAGATACTTTCTCAGCGGTTTCCCAGCTCAGCAAGATGGGGGAGGGGCACCCAGGTGCAGCACATGGAAGGCTGGAGGTGAATCAGAGTAAAGAAACATGATGTACACCTCTAGATTCCTTCAACCTGAGAGTAGGTTACAGTTGATAATAGGCAATGGTAGAATTATCCTTTAAAAAGGCCAAAATAAAACAAAACAAGCAAACAAACAAACAAAAAACCCCACCAAAATGGACAACACAAAACTACAAGTGTGTAAGGAGAGGAAGATAACCCAGGTAACTTTTTGGCTCCCTCCATGTCCTATGACCCATGCCCTCATGAGCCTCAGACTGCAAGGTCTGGGGCCCTGGGCCTGCTCCAGCTCTGGGGAGAGTCATGGGAGCCTCGGATCCAGATCAACATGTCTGTCCACAGGTATCCCACACAGACCTCCTCATGCTGAAGTAATTTCCAACCAGACACCAACGTTCCCCAGAGGGGACAGAACTTCCCCATGGTGAGCTGTGGCCCTGGAGAGACTTCCCAGCAACTCCTAATCAGACCATGCCTGAAAGCTGCAAATCAAACACTGGGCTGATGGCTCAWAAGGAACCATGCAGGGTGCAATCCAGATGAAAACAAACTGCCACAGGACCTGGGACACATTTTCCCCACCAGAGAGATGCCGACTTGCTTGGCTCTTAGGGTGGCCCCCCAACTTCCGGTTGCGATGCCCTCACCAGCAACACCAGCGGTGGGCAGCCGATGAGTGCCATGGCTGTGGAGAGCTTCCGCTTATTKCCCCCACTGTATGTGCCCACCAAACGATCAGCATAGAGAGACAGGCCCAGGCTCTGGATGCTCCAGTTTGCAACCTAAAGAAGAGAATGAAATCCCATCTGGAGAAGAGGAACATGGGCACACGGCAGACCTCCATAGTTCAAAGTTTCCCGTTCGCAGATCCCACCCRTCCAGGATGACAGACCCAGTTAGGGCTACTTGCTGGCTCCTGTCCTCTGGCACATGCTTCAGGAGCAGATAGAGTCTCCTTTCCACTCTGTACCTTTGATACCAGTGTGTCTTGGGCAGCTCAACACTCATCAAGGGAGTGAACTTAGGGAAATGAACTTAGGCCTTACAAAGATGAAGAGAGCATTTCTTACCATGTCCTAGACTGTGGCTATTGGAAAAGGAAGAGTCCTAAGGTCTCTTTGAGAAGATGGTGGGTCCAAGACCCACTGGTTCCACCCCTCAACAGAGTCACACCTAAAGTTTTGTGCAGTTAATGCATACTTACAGAGCACTCACTATGTCCGGCACTGTGCTAGGCACTGGAGAACAATGGTAAACACAACCATCATGCTGTGCTCACAGATGGGCAGCAAGGACAGACAATAGAAATTAAATAGAATGACAGCAGTGTTTTGAGGGAGTTCTACAGGGAAACATGATAGAGAATAACAGGGGTGGAGGTATATACATGTGCACATTTGCACAGAGGAAAAAACTAAGAAAGTTGATGGAGATGATTGCACCATGCTCTGCCTTCTGCATTTGTTKTACTCTGCCTGGTATGGATACTTCACTGATTTATCAATTGTCCCTCCTGCTAGAATATAAGCTCCATTTTTGACTTTTCATTTGGAAATAGTTTCAAACTTTTAAAAATGTGTAAAAGTAAAAGAAATACAAAGAACATTCATAAGCTTCCCCTCTCTTTCTCATACAAACACACACACACACACACACACACACACACACACACACATACACACACACTTATTTTTCCTGACCTGTTTGAGGATAAGTTTATGGACCTTCATTTCTAAGTACTTCCATGCATAATTCCTAAGAGTAGTGATATTCTCTTACACAATTGTAGTTTGGTTATCAAGGTCAGTAAATTAACACTGTCATGATATTTATCKAATCTACTTGTTCATAGTTCAGTTTTATCAACTGTTCCAATAGTATTCTTCATGTCACCCCACTCCCCCACACCTTGCTTCAGCACATGATGCAGTCTATTGTCTATAATTCACTCTTTATATCTCTTTAGCCTCCTRTTATAGGAATATTTCCACAGCCTTTCTTTATCTGTATGTCTTTGATATTTTAAAAGAATATTTTAAAAAAATGGATGTTCCTTCTTTGGAATTTGTCTGATATTTCCTCATGATAAGATTCACATTACACATTTCTAGTAAGGATTCCATATGAGTGAAGTTGTGTCCCTTGGGTATCCTGTTTGGGGCATGAGATGTCCACCTGTCTCTTGTAGATAACATTAATTTTGATCACTCAGTTAATATGTTGCYTAATTTTTCCATTATGAATTGCTCCCCACCCCTTGCAACCAAAAAGCTATCTGTGCAGATGTTCTTTTAAAACATGTAAATATCCTCTCTCATAAAACTTCCCCTAAATTTATTGTCCATTGGTGATTTTTGTGCAATYTGGTCTTTAATATGGTCATTGCAAAGTCGTTTTCTGACTCCAGAGCTTCTTCACACTAATCAGTTGGTGCTCAGCACTTGAAGGTAAGCAAGATCCTTCCCTTCTCTTMTATTTATCTAACAGTATAGACACAAATTCCTACTTTACCCCCAGTGTTTTACAACCTATCATGGTATTTCATTATTTTGATTTTCAGATTGTTCCATATTTGGCTGTGGTGATCCCTTCAGGATGGCTCCTATGTTCTTGTGACATGTCTCTTCATTTTGCTTCCTACTTTTAGCACAATAAGATGTTCCAGCTTTGGCATCTGTTACTTATTTGAAGAGTCATGGTTCCCTTTAGAAGGGGAATATTATGAAGATCAAAATCTGGGCAGAGTACACTCACAGCTATTAGGGTATTCTTCCTTCTTGGCTCTTTCAGAGGACAATAAACACATACACACCAATATGCACATGCATATATGCATGTAAATGTGCACTATACGTGAGCCTACCTATATACTTACATAAAAGCATGTAAGTATTTCATGAATTCACAGTGTTAACTCTAACTCCAATCCACCCCCCAGAGCTCCTTCTTGCTTTCCCCCTTTCTGTGTTTGTATTGTTACTTCTTCCATGGTGAGAATGTTGGCTCCAAAAACATTAACACATTTATCCATTTACTTAATCCTATATAACACATCTAAAATGGTTTCAGAATTGCTTTTTCTATGCCACTGTAAAAATCTAAAAAGAACTCAGAACTTGAAGTTCTTTGTCCTCACTGCACCCTGCCCAAGACTGAGAATAGCCAAATACTATGTTCGTCAGTTGTATTAGTTCTTCTCCCATATCTGTATGCTTATGATATTTATTTGAAATAAAATTGGGTTTAATTAGCTTCAGTTTATATGCAATGTTTTTTGCTTCCATTTGTACTTTCTTCTCATTCTTTTGATTTAGTTTTATTTAYGAATATGTAGAATATTAACATTTGCCAGAAGCTAAAACTATAGAAAGAGATACCCCCAGAGAATTATTATCCCTTCCCTTCTTCCATCCTAACTCCCTCTTATTCATCACCAAATCCATTGTTTTCTGGTTTACCCATTTTGTGTTCTATTTGTGAAGGTAAACAGACATTTAAATGATCTTTTATTTATTTTTTTACATAAAAGTAGCATTCTATTAGTTCTCTTTTGCATTTTGATTTTTTTCRTTTAACAATATTAGAATTAACTCCCATCAGTTCACAGAGATCTTCCTTATTCTTTTTTTTWAATAGCTGCACAAGATTTGTTGTGTGCATGTACCATAAATTCATCAACCAGTCTACTGTGCCTAAACATTTAGGTAATATCCAGTATTTTGCATTATAAATGCAATGAATAACCTGTACATATGCATTTTTTTACTGTGGGATGTGTATTTTCAGAAGTATAACTGCTGGGTTGATAGGTAAGTGTACACATATTTTTTGATATGAATGTAGGAATTTTTTTTTTCCTACTTTGTTCACTACTCTATCCCTGGCTTCTAGAACAGTACTTGGCATCCAATAGAMACTATAGAGCATTTGTTGGAATGAATAAATGAATGGATAGTATGCTTTAATTTCCAATCTCTAAATTAACATACTCCATGAAACAGGCTTATGGTTTGCCAAACTCTTATATGGCCACAACAAACCATTATTACCTTCTCAATTTCTTTTGTTGGTACACCCCGAAGCCGGGCATAAAGGTAGAGGTGTTCTCGGCCCGTGAGCAGGTCATCAACTGCATCAAACTGAGGACAGTAGCCCATATTTTGATGGACTTCAGAAATATTGGTTAAAATACTGTAAGAAGAAACAGCAATTRGTGAGTTTCCTACATAGAGAGAATGACTAGAGATCTGGGCTGGAAACCTTCTTCCAGGGGGATAAGTAGGCTGACTCTTCTCCTTCCTGCTTTGCTTTAGCAATGCACACCAAATGTACACATTTGGAAATCAAAGCAGGGACCTAGCAAAGAGGCAAACATGTGAGAGGTCATCCGTTGTCCTTTCCCATAGAGGCAGGAAGTCTGTTTAAAATTGCAGAGGGAAGCATTCACCCTCTGGAAGCTGAGGACACAGGCCAGTTTTTCCTTTATACTCTTTGGTGTGGCAAAGCCAAGCATCAGCACGCAGTCATTGCATCAGCAYGAAGTCAGCACAAGTCCCTATCTAGAAACAACCTAGAGAAAGGACACTTCATCATGGTAATTCCGAACTTGGGATCCAGGGGCTCCAGCAGGGTCATGAACATGCTTCAGGGTTCAGTAAATTCCCTGAAACTTTTTGCAAAAATGTGTGGAGAGAGGTCATGGTAGGTGCTGGTATATTCTTTTGTWTTTTTTAGTACCAGGGATTGAAGTCAGGGGACTCGAACACTGAGCCACATCCCCAGCCCTATTTTGTATTTTTATTTTAGATTTTATGAAACATTTTCACTAAGCAACTCACTGAGTTGCTTAGTGCCTTACTTTTGCTGAGGCTGGCTTTGAACTCTTGATCTGTCTCAGCCTCCCAAACTGCTGGGATTATAGGCATGCACCACTACCCTGCTGGTGTAATCTTTTGTAGGAAGAGGGTGCAGGTTTATTAGGTGCTCAAAAGTTAATGACCCCAGAGAAATGAAGGACCACTGACTTATTGCTTCTTAGAACTTTCTAAGAACCTGTGCTAATAGCACTCTTATAATCACAATTCATTTCCATTTTTCAGTGGATCTCTTGTGTACTTTTAGGACCATGCTCTCTGGGAGGCAATGATCTTTCTAGGTCACAGAGTCATTCTGACATAGGGTCTGAAGATCACTTTCCCTATKTTGGATCAGGGATGTGGCCTGTGAGCTACACCCTGAGGCAGAAAGGGCAGGGGCACTCACCTCTTGCCTGCTATAGTGGCATCGCCTGATGTCACTGTGGTGTCCCCTGTGAGCATCTTGAATGTGGTTGTTTTGCCTGCACCATTCACTCCCAGGAGACCAAAGCACTAGGAGAAAAAACAGAGCTGGCCTTGCACAGCAGAATAAGAGGGCCTGGAATGTCAGGCTCCAGTGTCGGTGTGTGATCTGGGGGAGGCATTTGAGACCTGGACTGCCAGTACAGAGGCTACTAGCCACATGTGGCTACTGACACAAAATACACCTAGTCCCAATGGACATTGGCCCTCTGTGTAAAATACTCTGGATTTTAAAGGCTTAGAATGAAAAAAATGCAAAATAGCTCAGCGATACTTTATATTAATTTCATATTGAAATGATAACACTAGACATATTGAGCAAAATTAAAAATATTATTAAATTAGTTTTATATGCTTTTAATTTTTTAATGTAATTATTAGAAAATTAAAATTCACTATGTGGCTCTTGTTAGATTCCTATTGAGTAGTTCTGCTTCAGAGGGGAGGAGTCTTGCATAAACTGATTTTCTGAAGCACTTTCATGTTGGTCTGCAGATACCTACCTCACCAGGACGGATTCCAACACATAGCCTGTCCACTGCTGGGCTGGAGGAGCCTGAATAAACCTGCAAGATCCAGAGAAACTGAGGTGAGGACTGAGACAGGGTTAGAGCAGGGAGAGCAAGAGCAAGCAGAGAAAGGTTAGTTTGGGAGAAAACCATCAATGCTCAGAGGTTATGGATTGACATGGGTGTTCAGAGAGCAGCTGTAAGCTCTGAGAATTGTGAAGCTGACCCATGCTGTACAGAAATGGAATGGAGAAAGATCAGTGATGGTCACCTGAAGGAGCTCTCACTGAGGTTCTGTATCAATACCCAAGGGGAATAGCACGGTCAAAGCATGTATCTAGATGCTCTTGGAAGACAAGTTATAACACAGAGATGATGATGATGCCACATATTAGGAAAACAGAGTGCYTGAAGAAGCAGATCACTTGCTCTAGAGAAGGAACATGACAACGTTGTGCCATCTGAGGTCCAACTAGTGGCACCTCCTAAGCAACATGCCTACGCCTTTTTCTTTACCTTGGTGAGTTGATTTAGCCTTAAGATATCAGTTTTATCTCCACCACTAGTAATTCTTTGTCTCTCTTCAGCCACATCATCATCTTCATCAACAATAGGCTCCTTGGGGGGCTCGGCAATCCTAGGGGAAGGAAGAGGGACAGGATTGGGCTGGGTGTGTGGAGTCCTTGGCACTGTGGTATTCACCTGACCTTTTCTCCAATTCCCTCACTTCTGCTTCCCCTGTACTTTTATCCTCTAGGGCTTTTATTCTAAAAAGTGCTCCTAACAGGAGGTAGGCACAGAGGGGTTAAATGTTCACATCCAGAGTCAGTTTCAGGATCTAGTTTGTGCTGGACCTTTGGCAGGTCATGGACCTTTCTGAACCTTTCCTCTTCCAACCACAGGATGGAGAGAAGACTCTTATCTCATACAGTTTAGTGAAGATGAGCTCAGCACAGTGCCTGGCACAAGTAAAGACGCAGGACCTAGGAACTTATTACTAATTCTTTTTTTTCTATGTCAACAACTCAATGAAGCTTAGTTGCTGTCTACCAAGCTTTCTATGTTCTTCCACCCACTATGCAAACTCAACCTCTTAAAAACTGCTGTCATCTGGTCATCCCATGCCACCAAACCTTCCATCATTCTCCATCAGCTATAGGCTAAAACCAGATTTCCCAGTTGGAATATCAGAGCCCTGTGCTCACTCAGCCCCCCCCCCCCCCGCTCTTCCCACCTGATCATCTCACTCTTCTATACTACTGGCGTCTGCCCCTGGTCCCTAGCTCATGCTGACCTTTGCTACCTTTCACATATTCTCTTCCTCCTGCTCTGCTAAAGGAATCCTCCCATCCTTAAAGGCATAGCTTCTTCTCTGAAATTCTCCCTGACCACCAAGGCCTCTAGTCCCCCCATTTTCCCCTCACTGACTATATCTAGCCCATCACCAAGTTTTGTCTAAAAAACTTCCTGCTATTTATCCAATCAACCTATTTTTCTCCATCTCCTGATGCCACCATTTCTATCCAGGTCACCATGGTTCTTGCCTGAGTACCAATATGGCCTTCTGTCTGGTCCCCCTGCTCTAAGTCCTGGTAAGATCACATCATTTCTCTGATTTAAACACCCCCCAGGGTTGTGTGTTGCCCTCAGGCTTGAGTCCCAAGTCATTAAATGAGAGGGTATTTTATGACAGATCTGTGCCCCTCCAGATTCATCTCCTGTCCCACTTCACCTTTCACAGCTAATCTGAACTCCTACTATTCCATGCAYCATTACTTTCTGGGGCTTCTGTATCTTTGTGTGGGCCCTATCCTTGACAAGAGCACCCTTCCTCCCCCCCCTCCTTCTTAATATGGGTGTGGCTGGAAACYAGAAGCTGTGGCATGCCTTTTTGGTCCTCCTTGATCTAAGGCAGGCAGGACCCACTCAACTGTGCTGTCCTCAGAGTGTGATGGTAATGGCTTGTTTGGCTGAATATCCCTCTTCACCCTTTCTCACTCATCACAAAGGCCTTTAAAAGATGTGGCCAAAGGCTGGGCTGGGGTTCAGTGACAGAGTGCTTGCCTAGCAAGCATGAGGCACTGGGTTCGATCCTTAGCACCACATACAAAAAAATAAGCAAATAAAATAAAAGCATGCTGTCCATCTACAACTACCAAAAAAAAAAAAGATGTGGCCAAAGCGGTAGAGAGGTCTTCAAGGGCTGAGGATCCCAAGAACAACAATTCCTCACACCGTGTCCCGTAAGTAGAACCAATTCCTGATCATGTTTTATCAAAAGTGTTTAACCCATTATTTCTTTCAATCCTTATGACCCTGTGAGTGAAACAATAGATAAATTTCCAATGAATCAATTTCCTATGGGCCAAAACCTTAAAAAATGCACAAAAGAGCAAGTCCAATRGCCGGGTATGGTGGCACCAGTAGTCCCAGTGACTTGGGAGGCTGAGGCAGGAGGATGGAGCCAGCCTTAGCTGACTCAAACCCAGCATCAGCTACTTAGCAAGGCCCTAAGCAACTTAGTGAGATGCTATCTCTAATAAAATATAAAAGAGGACTGGGTATGTGGTTCAGTGGTTAGGCACCCTTGTACAAAAAATCCATCATCAATCCCTGATACCAAAAAAAAAAAAAAAAGGCAAGTCCAAACTTGGAATCTTTATTTACATGTGACTAGAATTAGTCTGAGAGAGGAAATATAAATAAACAAAACACTGGCCAGGTATAGTGATACACACCTGTAATCCTAGCAACTCAGGAGGCTGAGGCAGGAGGATGGCAAATTTGAGGCCAGCCTCAGCAACATAGTGAGACCTTTCTCAAAATAAAAAAGAAAAGAACTGGGGAGGTAGCTCAATGATCAAGTGTCCCTGGGTTTAATCCCCAGTATAAAAAAAAAGAGAGAGAGAGAGAAGAAAAAGAAACAAAACACTGTCAGGAAATTTTTTTAGGGAGGGCCCAGTGATTGCAAAGCCAGTAAAGGTCCGGATTACAGAGGAACCTGGGTTGCTGCTCAAAATGAGGTAGGAGCTGGCAGGGCTTGGGGGAAGAGCCTAGGGAAGATGGGCTGAGCTGGGTTRGGGCCCTGGTCAGTTGACCCAGCCATTGAGAAGTCCTGGTAAAGTTAGAGTTGGCAGCTATTATCCAGCATCCAGGGAGGGAGGGTGAATCATTGCCCCTCACCCCTTCACAGACTCCTGGCTGCACTCTTGGGGCACGTAGCCCTATATTACTCCCCATATTCTCTGTCCTATGTAACCCCACTCAAATTTCTAATTAGCAAAAGGGTATACTTTGTGTTTTCTCAAAATTATTTCCTAGTTCTTTGGATGCTTTTTTAACCATTGTTATTTGCAATGCTATTGTCTAATTTCAAATGAGTATGTGGTAATTAAATGAGAAGATTAAAATAAAGAATTAAAACTAGTGACATTCTATTTTAAATAGTTTAAAGTTGAGAGTTGGCTTCAATTCTAATATGCCTATTTTAACCTATCTCTTTCTGTGTTATTTAGAATAAGCTAGGCCTTGAGAATGTAAAAAACCATTATGGAGTGGGACTCCTGAGGAAAGAAATGACCATATCAGTAAGAATTTCAGTCCAAGACACACTGAGCTGCCTGCTGGAACCCCCAGGTGCAGCAAGGGCATACCATCTGGTGAAGAAGAAGTGTTTCTGGACGAGGAGGTTCAAAAGGAAGTACACCACCCCTTCTGCTGCCATGGCAATCAGGTTCTTCCCAATCAGGTCCCACTGGAATGGATTTGGGGAGTGCTCCTCACCTGGAGATTTGAGGCCACTGAATATCAATAGGGATTGAGTCTGTGTCAGCTGCCCCAGGTACCCCCCMAAAACCTGGCTACAATAGGCCCAACTGGACCAGGCCTCATGCAAGGGATTAAGTAAGAGCCAAACATGAATCTCATCTTGGCTTTCAAGTCAAAGAGGGAGAGAGTAAAAACCTGCCCTCTGCCCCTCCTATGACTCCTGAGCCATGAGAACAGAGGTACCCTAATCCCTCCTGAGTGGCAGAATAAACCCAAGCCAACACAGTGTCTTTCCACCCCAGCCCAGGGTACAGATATGATTGTATCCTGCAATCCTCCCTGCCTCAATGGATCCAGGGCCTGTGCTCCATGGACCTTGAATGCCACCCACCAAACCGGGCATAGACGTCTGTCACAGCCTGACTCAGAGCCAGGTCAATRAGGCCCCGGCCCAGGCAGAAGTGGGGGAAGATAATGAGCAGCTTCCTCAGCATGGCGTTGAACCTGAGTAGYGTCTGAAACAGAAGGACAACTGTTAGATATAAGGGCTGATGCTGCCTACCCTGTCCTGAGCAGGTGAGCCGGGATGCCCTCTCAGGGTGGGAGCAGGGGAGGTCTGCAGGAAAAGGACTTCCAGCTAGACTGGCCACAGGAGGGATTGGTCAGACAGGATGCAGAGGGTTTGATGTGGACATCCTGAAGTACTTACTGGAGGTGCCTCAGGWCTAGGCCACGGAAGTAATAATAAATTCGTGACTAATCAATGCCTGGGGCTCCCTGTGTCATTCTTGTGGGTAGGAACTGATACCTAGCCCAGCAGCATTTTCTGAATATTTATTGTGCTCAGTGCTATCTGGGCACTGGGGCTAACTGTAAAGAACATGCACATTGCTTTCCTTAATTAACCCTGCATGACTCCATGGACTACAGCAATAATCCATGGAGAAGCAGCAGCCCTGATGCTGTCTCTTTGGGCAGCTCTTCTGCAGACTTTCTTTGCCATGGTGTGGGAGTCCTCCAAGATGCCTGTTGCCAGAAGATGCAGCAGCTGCTAGGAGTGTGACTGGGGTCTCCCCTTTGGTACAGCTGTGAGTCAGACCTGAATAGAGGCTCTTCCATCAACTCTATCTTAGTCCAGCATGAACCAAATGGGAGCAGGCCTTCAGCTGCCTCCTGGCTCTGCTCCTCAGCTCCACACAGGGCAACCTGTCATTGTCTAAGGAGTTTTGGGCACAGCCTCCCTCTAAAAGGTAGAAAGGATACTAAGAAGGTGAGGCTGGTGGAATTCGCTGAGCCCAGCTGTCCACTCCATCTGGCCCATCCCTACACTACACCTCCTACCTCTCTAGTCTCTATACCTCTGCAGTTTCCCTCATCCTTCTTTACAACCACCTCCTAACTCTTCCCAGAATGCACTGTGTGCTCTTTTCCCTCTAGGCTTCTGCATTTGCGGTTTCATTTAGTTTCCCTCCCTCCCTTCCTTTCTCTTCTCTTCTCTTCTCTTCTCTTCTCTTCTCTTCTCTTCTCTTCTCCTCTTCCCCTCCTTCCTTCCTTCCTCTTCTCTTCTCCTCCTCCCTCCCTCCTTCCCTCCCTCCCCCCTCCCTCACTCCTCCCTCTCTTTCCTCTCTCTCCTCCCTCTCTCCCTCTATACTGGGGATTGAATCTAGGGGCACTCTACCACTGAGCTATATCCCCAGACCTTTGTATTTTTTATTTTGAGATGTGTATGGACAGACTGATCTTGAACTTGGGATCTTCCTGCCTCAGATTCCCAAATGACTAGAATTACATGCTTGTGCCATCAGGCCCAGTGGCATTTGCAATTTCTGACACCTATAGTTCTTAGCAGGAAAGGATGTTCTTTTCCCTTGTGTTCTCTGACAAGATCCCTACCCTTCTTTAGGGAGTCACTCAAGCAGTCCCTTCTCTCTTAGGCCTCCTCTGATTCCTGGGTTAAATATCCTTTCTTCTCTTACCACATTCCTGGGATTATTTCTTTTTTTAATGCACCTCCTTTCTCCACTTAAATACCTTGGTTCCCTAAATACCTTGTACAGTGGTTAGCTCATTGTAGGTACTTTATGATTCATTAAATAGGCTAATACTATTCTATTTACTCCAGGCCTGATTCAAGTTGAAAATCCCCCATAAGATGCTTCTAATCCCTGCAGCCCAGCTCTCTGGCCCACTCTGATCTGTAGTCTTTTACATTTCTTGCTCCTTTGATGTTTTATGGACTACCATATTGATGGCTTTTGTCAGTTGCTAACTTTGATGTGTAGCTTGTTTCCTTGCTGGAACAGGAACTCCTGTGCATAGGATGAGTGAGTCACACTTGTTTCCATTCACATATCTGTCACATGGTGTTCACCTAGTAAATGCCTCCCAACTAAGCAATGATAGCAGCTACCCTAAGAGCCTCATGTGGGATACTGGAAATTTCTGTAGCATTTATTGATCAAGTAAGCAGCTTTTATGGGAAGAAGAGTGCTTAGTAAATGGCTAAGTGCTCAATATGTGGTTGAATGTGACTGCAGGAGGGAGAATGTTCTGAGTTCCTTTTAGCTTGCTATTTAATTATTCTAAAATAACACACCCTCTTAAGACAGTGGGCTGTAAGCCTGTGGCAAAAACAGCTCTGATGAGCAGCATTTTCATCCACCAGGTATGCAGGCCATCTTCTAGCTCTGTGTTCTTATCCATGTCCCTCTGGTCTGTGATCTGCCATATTTCTATTATTAATGGCACAGGTGGGTTAATTCCTGGCTCAGTAGCCACAGAAAACCTCACTAGGTCTGGGGGAAAATGGCTCTTAGGAGGTCATGGGAGGTTAGCTTAGGGCCTCAGCACAGACTTACCCTCTGTTTTCCCAGCAAGGGCACAGTGCAGATATGCTGGCTGGTTCCCACCCCTTGGACTGTGAAGAATTCATGAGGAAAGGAAGGGCTAGCGAGGTGCCTGAGGATACAGGGACACCAGCAAACCTGAATGCTCTGAGGACAGCCATGAAAGGACTCAGACAGAGCAGGTGGGAGTGTGRAGTAAAGGCAGCCTTGTAGCTACTGCCACTTCTTTTAGGATTYAGCTGGCCATTTCTTTCTGGAAGGGAAAGTCAGAGGGTATGGACAGGACAAGTGGACTTCRTAGCTCAAAACATTTGAGTCATTCAGGACCATGATTTCCTAATTCTGTCCTARGGATTAACAGGTGCAGGATAGTACATGGTATATGTTATAATTTGCATAAGAAGTAGGAGAAAGAATATTTATATATTTACTTTATGTCTCTAGAACACATTAGAAACTTGAATAAGGTTTCCTCTGGAGAAGGAAACTGGGTGAATCAGAAACAGGGGTAGAAAGGAGATTTTTTCATTATATGTCTTTCGTTCCTTTTACATTTTGAAATCACCTAAATGTGATACCTACTAGTGTCAGTGTGTGTGTGTGTGTGTGTGTGTGTGTGTGTGTGTGTGTAGGAAACCTAACAAACCTAACACTCACAGTCCCAGAGGAAACTTTCTTGAAAGGGATATGAAAATCTAAAAAGTCAGGGTCTTGGCAGTCATTTATAGCTTGCAGAATAGGCTTAGAAAATGCAACATTCAGAGAATGCAGATCAGCAAGAAGAAAGGCATGCTGGGAGGGAAAGAAGACAACAATGCTGGTCTAAGCACTGAGCATCTACACATGCAGTGCTTGCCCATGGCTCTGCTTGGCCATTGTATACTCTCTAGTATGCAATATACTCTTAATCAAATAGTATACTCTTAATCAAATAAAGATGCCAAGAAAGTCACACTCACCCGGTTACTCTCAAATAATTCCAAGATGAAGGTGATGGCACTGCTGTTGATGCCGATGAATAGATTAGCACAAGACAAAGCCACATAGGCTGTGCTGGGGACGTCAAACAGGAAGGATGCTGGGTACATCATGGGAATGACTGCCCATCTGTGTGAAATGGCAATACCATGGGAAGTGTTCCAATTGTCATCCTATCAGCTGTACCTAGATAGGATGYACTCCCCTCATGTGTGAGGTGACACATTTGAATGGCCAGAGTCCCAGGGGGAAAAAGAGATGCTCCATCCCTAAGTTCTATGCTTCATCTTTAAATGGAGATCATAAGGCCCATCCTGACCATCTCATGGGTCATGTGAGGAGCAAATAACAGTGGCTGTGTGTGTATTTTGTGAAACACAATATACAGGAGGGTTCTCAACCCTGCAGTGCTTCTGGCTCTAGTCTGGATCAGCAAAGCAAAGCTGAAGGTCCCCAGCAGCTCATCATCACAGTTCATTGGGCAGTTCATAGTTCCCTGGCTTCTGAATTCCCCTTTTCCAAGAGAGATGAATGGAAACCATTGCTCTGGTAAGATTTTACTGACCCACATAGGAAGGGCAGGGATCATTATTTCCATTTTTCAGATGAGGAAACTGGGCCCCACATGGGTGGTTTACTTATCCATAGTTACACCCACAGAAAGAGGTAGGCCTGGGATATAAAGTTGCATGATGGGCTCTACAACCAGCTGGACTTGAATCTCTGTCACCCTCTAGCCTGACCCAGGAGCAGCTTTCCAGCTGGAGTTTTCTATTATGTGAAAAGAACTCCTGGGCAGTACAGATGGAAGCACAGAGATGGGCAAAGTGGCCACGGATGACTCAGGGTTGTGGAGGAACTGGGGAGTGACCAATTCCCAGACTCCAGACAAGGCCACAGTGGGAGTGGAAGAAGAGTCAGACTATGTGGAGCCCTTCCCAATGTCCCTGAATGGACTGTTCTTAGAAATATCTCTATTGGAAAAGTCAGAAACAGAAGCCAGATTCCTGATTAGCAGATRCAGACCTTGCTAGGGACTGGACACTAACCCTGTGCATCTACCACTGCHGGAAGTCCCACCCCACCCCTGGCTTCCCTTTGGTGCCATTAGTTAGGAGCCCAAATGACTTACCCATACAGCATGAGCAGCGCAATAAGGGCAGGAAGATTGCTTGGGGACGTGTAGGCTTTCTTCTGAAACCCACGAAGATGCCCACCACCAGTCCTGCACTCACTGCATAATTCATCTTGAACAGAGAAGAAGATAGCAAGTCATGAACAACTAGGACCTGTTTCATGGTCTGTACAATGAGGGATGGGACCAGGATCATCCAGATCTTAGGGTCTGGGGTTGACTTCATCTGTCTAAACAGTTCCTAGTCTTCCTGCTGCTCCTTCCCCCAGGGACCTTCAGTCTATATCTATGAAATGAATGAATTGTAACATCCAACTGGATCTCTCTTTCTAATTGGTCACGAAGCCCCGCTGATGCTACTTTCTAAGCACATCTCTAGAATTCAGAAAAACTTAAAAAATAGTCATTGACCTCACAAAGCTCAAACAGATGATGACACCCTTTTAAAAAAATGCATTCCYGAAGCCATTAGGTCAGGCACAGGAAGGTGGGCACTCATGGTAGGGTTAGGTCTCAAACAGGATGAAAACCAGAGGAGGGTGAGGGTCTCAGGGCAGGTGTTGAGCCCCAAGGGGACGAGGAAAGTGTTCTTCCATGTGGCTGAGCTGTTGTGGAGTATCAGAGCCAGGACAGAAGGAGGATGAGCTCCACAGAGCAGCAAAAGCAGGGAGAGGGGGTATCCATGCAGGGAGGGGTGGTGGTAGAGATGGGGCACTTACTTGTTACTTACGGGTAATAAACTCTGATAGATAAATGATTTGGGGTGATAAAAGCCAGTTTCTCAATCTTGGAGAAGGGAGTTATAAATGCAGAGACAGAAAACTAGAATGAGCCTCTGGTGTTGGACTGGAGCTAAAGGTTTTGGTGAGCATAGAGCTTAGTGTGCAGAGACTGAGGAATACAGATGTAAGTATGTGGATGTCTGTGAACATATATAATTTATCTTCCCTGGGTCTATCTACTGAGAAGACCTGGTCCCAACRACACTTTAGTGGCAGTGAACAAATCTGGCACCTAGATCTTGGTCTCTGAGGGCCACTTTCCCCTGAAATGAACCAGGGCCCTTTGGGGAGATGGTTGGTTCTGGGAAGGAGTGGCTGAAGGACAGGGTAAGCTTGGAGCATCTTGTGGTGCCAGGGAGCAGTGAAGTGCTCAAGGAGGATGTAGACATAGTGAAGAAGGCACAGAGGCCAGCTTGAAGGAGCTTTCCCTGCCACACTTGGGACAATCTTCATATCAAGCTAAGTAATGATGGTATGGAGTTATAATCCATCAATTAACACAGGACCCATGACTACATACAAATATATATAAATAAGTAAATGAACAAATGGAAAGTTTGACAACAAACAGGATATTTGCACATATTCAAAGTACTTCTCAAAATTTTTTATCAACTATAAAGAGAAAGAGAATAGTTCTGACAGTGGAGAGTAGTTCTGACAGTAGACACCTTCTTAAGTGAAAAGGTAAACRTCCTCAGTAATAGGACAACTTAAACCGGAAGCAAGCTGATAAGATCCAAAAAGAACCCAGCTTCCATTTCATGACACTGCTGCCTGGGACACTCTACCTCACAGGGAAGGCTCAGGCAAACCCAGATTGAAAGATATTCTACAAAAGAAATGGCCTGTAATCTTCAAAARGACTAAGACCACAAGTATTAAGGAAAAAAGAGAAACTAACTGTACCAGGCTAATGGAGACTAAAGAGACAGGACAACCAAATGCAAGGCAAAATTCTGAGCTAGGTCCTTGTCTAAAAAAGACATCATTGGTGCAATTGGTAAAACTTGAGTGGGGTCCAAGAAACAGGTGGCAGTGGTGTCCAAGCACTGGTTTCCTGAAGTTGACAGTCGTACAGTGGTTGAAGGAGGCAAGTCCTCATTTGCAAGAGATAAATATTGAAGATGCTGGTGTGTGTGTGTGTGTGTGTGTGTGTGTTTGTGTGTGTGTGTGTGTTTGTGTGTGTGTGTGTGTCTGTGTATGTCAGAAAGAGAGAGAGAAGTGGGGGGAGAATCTTGTCAAGAAGTTGCTCCCAAAGGACCAAGATAAAAGTTTTACACTGTGCTTGACATTTTTACATAAGCCTTACATTTCTTTTCAATATTTAAAAGAAAAGGAGATGACACATATAAAAAGATGGRAATTTAAAATACCACAGATATGCTAAGTGACTGATATAAACAATAATTGTTCATTTGACGATGACCCCCAGGCATGTTTTTTTCTTTTTACCACTGGCTAATGAGGGTGATTCTGTCATCTGGCAGTTCAGCCAGGAAACCTGCCTGGATCTGCCCACATGAGAAGTAGGCAAATAATAAAAAAAGAAAAAGCAACTCTTTTTTTTTTTCTGTTTGAATTTTATACAGCTTCTTCTCTCCAGCTTGACCAAACTGCATACAATTCATATTTACTTTTTCCATCATTTGCCTATTTCTTATGTGGGAAGGTGGCTAGATCCAGCCAGGTGGAATCCAGGAAGGCTCTCTGGCCTGGCTGCTGGTAACAACAGATTTCTGAAATTCAGCACTACAGATTCTGAGATTCAGATTCCAGGCCAGCTTTAAAATTCTAAAGCATCAGGAAGYCTGCCAACACCATACCCAGTGCAYTATCTTCTCTCTTCTAACCCTTCAACGGATGGGCCAGGGTCTATATTGTCAGTATGGCCTCCACTCCAGATGGCCACTGTGTCCTTCTAGCTGTATCTTTCTATCGGCTGAGTCCTCTCTTTGTAGACACACACACACATAGGTCAACTCCAAGTGCAAATGGTATTCCTCATCTTTTAAAAGTGAAAATATATATATAAATATATGTATATCTCAGCACTTTAATAAGTAGCTTCTCAGGGCAGGAGAACCTGGATCCTTTCATGTTAAAATCTCAGGGCCACTGTAGCCTCTGCCCAAAGAGAAGCCTGCAGCTTCTAAGTTCCTATGCGCTTGTGCTTTTTTCACGAAGATGGAAAAGAAAGGAAAGAATTTAAACACTACTGAAAATTTCTAGCTTTTGAATTAGTTGAGTCAGATTAAAGAAATCATGTCTTCAGGAATCCTAATTTTCAGTATTATTGTCAAAAGCCACAGAGAGGGTCACTTGTACTGGCCTCTTCAAGATGCTACTTCTGGCCTCCACCAGTTGATATGTCATCTGGTGGAGCTCACGGTGGTCTTAGGATGCTGAGATGAATCAAATGTGTCCTCACATTACTGAGGACACCCAGAAGAGATGAGTTGTTGTTTTCTGTCTCTCTCCTTTTTTTGCTGTATTGGGGATTGAACTTGGGACCTTGTACATGCAAGGCAAGTGTTCTACCACTGGGCTACACCCCAGTCCCTGGTTGGTGTCACAATGATCCTTGCTATATTATAACTAGGCCTTTGCTACCAATAAGTTCTGACCATGTGGCCTGTCATAAAGTACCCCATTCTAATTCTTCCCTGTTCCCAGAAACCTTGGTTGTGAGCAATGTGGTTGTCCATTGTTGCTCTGATAATTTTTTCTTATTTTCCCTAAAGTGGTGGCTAATCTGATATAGTGAAGGTCTGTCTGATTACTTTGGGGAAGCAAAATAAAGCTCCTGGGTAGAGTTTCCAGATTTGCAAATAAAGATACCAAATGCTCAATAAGCTTGAATTTCAGATAAATGGCCACTAGTTTTTTTTAGTATAAATATGTCCTATGCAATATTTAAAGTGGGATATACTTACACTAAAACTTTACTTATTGTTTGTTTGAAATTCAGATTTAACTGGGCATCCTATATTTATCTGGTGAACCTCTAAGGAAGTTCTACTTTAGAGTTTTTGGGAATGAGGTGGGATTTAAGAAGGAGATTTTGGGTGAAGAACCCCTTGGTCCATTCCCACATCCAAGCTATTTTGGGGAAAGCCAGACTCCTGCCTGCAGTGCAGTGATTGGGTCAGAAAACCCCTCAGTGCAGGACACAGAGCCCTCAGTCCACAGTTGTGAAGTTGTGATTCACAGCCTTCCTCAGCTCTGGGATCCTAGTGCCTTTCAAAGATGATGTCAAGGGACAGTAGCACACAAAGCCATTAGCTGAGTACTTTCCAGCAGCCCGGGCAGTGCAAGAACCCCTCCATGTAATATCTCCTCTGTCAGAGCACACTTGAGTGYCACCTTGGGACCAAGAAGGTGAGGGAAGGCCTGACACTTACAATGTCCCAGAGGAAGTTGGTCATCCAGTAGGTGATGGCACTCACTCCACTGACAAACTGGAGGTGCTTGGCTTTATTCATCCTTTCCTGGATCAAGTAGAGGACAAAGCTGGCTGGGACAAAGGACATGGCAAAAATCACACAGATGGCAAC